ATTTTTCCCCTTTGGAGGTGGAAATTCCTGATTATCTTTCTTGATGTTAATTTACACTATACAGAGAACCTACCTGCATAATTCAGATATTCTAAAATGTGCATTGTGAAAAAGTATTCATACATACATACATCCTCACAAACTTTCACATTCATAATAATAGTATAGATGAGAAAGACAATTTGTTGTTTTCATATCATTTTGTATTAGTAACTAACATTACTGCAGTTTCATCCTATAAGAACATTTTCGAACGAATACAATAGACTTCACATATTCCTGTAAATTATAGGAAAAAAACATGAAAATCAGAATCAACTTCTTCTTCCTTCCTTCCTTATATTTACAATTTTCTAGGCGAACTAGATACAAATTATGGCCCCTTCCTTCGCAATCGTGATAATATTCATGGTCATTTTAAGACCAGCCAGACAATTAAATCGAGGTTCTGTGGTAACAAATGGCTATGGATGTTCTGAAATTGGTGGGTAAGTACAAGAGATAAGTATACCAGTAATATTCGTGATACTGTTTATCGCTTTTTAACTCACAATATTTCAGTAACTGTTCAGAATGATATGTGAAGATATGTATGAAGGGTTGAATCTTACTTTCCAAGTGAATACATGCAACATTTTGATTTCAAATGTATCAATTGCATAGATTGAATAGAACTGGCAGATACTTGATGAAATTCCATATTAAAACTGATTTATACACTTTATTGTATGATTTATACTATAAAGGTTTTACAAAAACCGCGACACGTGTTTCGCTATACTTCCTCAAGCGTAAACTTTTACGTGGAAACCAACCAAAATCATTGAAGAAGTCTCTCATGAAACACGAGAAAAACATACTGTCCATCTTAAAATTTATCAGATGCAATCGATAAGAAAACAATTAGAACAAGTTTTGAATACACTCTGGTTCGCGTCTCTTTGATCTATTCGCATTTTCAGTACGAAATGCAGATGATTAATGAATATTAACATATTATTAATGAACATATTTTGTATGTGAAGTTCTTCCAATTATTCGTTTGTGAGTATGTATTGAATATATAACACTTTTTCTTCGACTTCGAAGAACTTTGTATTGAATTGAAGAGCTCAGAAAACTATACTTTGGGACCCAATATAAATCTCCTTCCACAAAAACCAAGGCCTACTGCGAATATTTTTATAGGTTAGAATACAAGAAATCGTATTAGCGAATTTTTCAGTAAAAATTTAAAATCACCATTGGACTGGGTACCCTCTCAAATGGTGGTATACCAAAATTCATGGAAAAATATTCAATAATAATAATTCTGTGGTCGAATCGAAGACATTTTTATCTTGAGTCAATTCAAGTATCTGATGGTTTGAAAAGTAAAATAAACATCGAGTAATCGTTGATAAATATAAGGCAAATTGAATAAACGAATGGACATATTATTGTAGACAAAACAGGAATGAACGTTCATCAAATTTGTGAACTTTTTGCTTCACAGTACCCCCACAATAAACCCTTACGGGTTGCGGTAGAGATCGAATAGACTGACTCACTTCTACTTCTACTTGGGGCGAGACTACTCCATTTGTAGTGAACGTAACTACATCACTTAACTAAATTGTTTTGAAAAAGTTTATACAACCATTCAAATATTCACTATGAGCCCACACACATAACTCTAACCTTCTTCATCTTCCGGTTCCAGAGTGTGTACAATTTTGGTTTCAATGGTTTGATTTTATTTTCTACAAGACATCTCCTGATATTTTCTCTAGGGATATTTAAGTTGAAACTAACCGGTTTTCAAGCTTGAATGAGGATTGTTACTAAAATACTGCAATATTCGGATATTTCTATTCTCACGATGTGGATTGTTTCTGTTTTTGAGCATATGCCTCGATACACAACCTGTTTCGTTAAAAACAGAATGTATACGGTTCATAGTACTGCTGCTCACTGGAAGTTTATCAGGATGTCTGTTATGAAATTCTCTGGCAGCTTCCCTTGCCGAAAGAGCATTATCTCCAACAAGACGCACAAGTTCAATTTTATCTCACACACTTTACCGCTTTACAAAATATTTTTCTTACTAATCGGGCATGATCTGACTTTACAGCAGCAATAATTATTATTATTATTACACAGGGGTTTTCCCCTTTTTACGTATGAAATATAATAATATAGTATAATACTCATACTAAATTTGAAGTGAAAATGAACAATTTGGCACTACTACAGTATTAGACGGACACTTATACTAATAATTTTTTCGAACTGGTTTCGAATGAATTTAATGTTTGTCTGGTGAATTCTAAACCTCTATTGCAATATTCATTACCTAATCGAATAAAACGTGACAAAGTACTGTGATAACCGTAATTTGTTCGATGGTAGGGAACTTGGAATAATTCTAATGAAGAAATGTATTGGATTACTCGACCTTGAGAATGAAATACAATAGCACTTAAAAAACGTTGAGTAACATTCCATTATTTTGTGACCAAATGATCAATGCGTTCAAGTCAGATTGAAGGTTTTCACAGTCTATGTCGGAGTTGATTGACATATAAATTTTGAGATCGTCAGCAAAGAGAAGGTATTTACAGTGATAAAAGTTGAGAGCTATATCATTAATGGAAATATTAAATAGAATTGGACCTAGGTGTGATCCCTGCGGGATACCGGAGGTAACATTAGTATCACTAGAAATGTGGTTTTGAATTTTTACCAAGTTTATTGATCAGCAAACCGTGGTTTACCCTATCAAAAGACTTACTGAAATCAGTCTAAATTGTTTCAATTTGAAGACTTTTTTCTAGGGCCATGGTAATATCATGCTGATATACTAATAAATTTGATGTTATTGATCTACCTGTAGCAAATCCATGTTCATTTTCATTCAGCAAATTTTTGCAATGCAGATGGTGCACAAGTAAAATCAACAATAATCTTTTTTTCCAGTGCCAAATGAAAAAGAGCGCGATTTTGTATATCTGCACGGTGTTTCACGTTCAACTCACCAAGAAACAAAAACCATTCAAAAGGTGTGCAGTTAACATTCAATCATGATACAATGTAAATGTTGATTCGAACACAGAATTATTAATATTGAATATTTTTTGATAAAATTTGGTATACCACTATTTGAGAGGGTATGTAGGTGGGTCTGAAGTGAGTGGGTCTATTCGACCCTCCACCGCAACCCATATGGGTTTATTGTGGCTCACACCCATTCACACTCGGCCAAATAAACCCAGCTTCTTAACGAAGCCAATTAGTTTATATAGTAAGTGATCTTTCAGGTCAGATGGTGAGAGAACGGATCTGCCGAACTCAAAGAACCTGATTCGGTCCCCAGCGGGGCAGGCACAAAGTATATGCTCTGCAGTTTTATCATTTTCCAGACAGAGGCGACACACACTGTCTTCCGACAGTCCAAGTCTCTGCATGTGATGATTCAAATGACAGTGACCTGTAAGAAGGCCTGTTAGACATCGTAGTTCATCCCTACTGTAGTCCAACAACTGTTTGGAATCAAGGTTCGAAGGGTGAATAAACGCCTTGGAGTGAGCCAATCCTGGAAGATTCTGCCAGAAGTTCATAACTCTTCTTGCCATCCAAGTGTTAAGTGTTCGTTTGGCAAAGCCCAAAGTGATGCCAATGACAGGTTCTGGTCCAATGAAGCCGCTTGCAGCACCCTCTTTTGCAAGAGAGTCAGCAGCTTCATTGCCTTACAGGCCAGTATGGCCAGGAATCCAGATTAGATACAATCTGTTTAGTCTTCCTATCGAGGAGAGTCTTTTTTGGCAGTTAGCTACCAATTTGGACGTTGCTCGGTGGGAGCCAAGAGCTTCCAACGCCGCTTGACTGTCCAAGAATATTTTTATTGACTTGTGAGTGAGGTTGGATTTATCCAATCTCCTCGCACACAATTCAATAGCGTAAATTTCCGCTTGAAATACAGTCGCATAAGTTCCTAGGCAGGTATATCACTCTGTTCAGGGTCTGCGATTGAAAACACCTGCACCAGAACCTAAAGGTGTTTTTGATCCATCTGTGAACCAACAAACAACTATCTGCTCTTGATATTTCCTTCTCCCGCAGGATCCATTCCTCCCTACTCGGGAATAGTATTTTATAAGGCAGTTCGTAGTTGACAGTTGGAGGCATAAAGTCAGAGGTCATTTCCAAAACGCTGTGACAATGTCAACCAACAGTCTGTTGCACTCTGCATTGAATTGATTTGTGCAATTGGCAATGTGCACAAGTCTGTATGCAGTCCATCTAGCCTCTCTTTCCAGAAAAATGTGGAGAGGAGGTAGATCTAGAAGGATCTCCATGGCGCTGACGGTGTGGTATTGATGGCACCTCTAATAGCCAGACAAGCCTGTCTCTGTAAACCAGAGACCTTCGCTTGGGCCGTTTTCTATAAAGCCTTCGGCCACCAAGCAATTGCACCATACGTGATCATGGGTCTGACAATCATCACATGAATCCAATGGATTTGTTTGGGACCTAAACCCCAATTTTTACCACAAATCCTTCGACATGTCCATAGAGACAGTCTGGCTTTGTGTAAAACTTTTTCCAAGTGAGCGTTCCAGGTGAGTATTTCATCAAGGACAATGCCAAGATATTTCACCTCCGTTACAAATGGAATGACCACACCATTGAGAGAAAGTGGCGTTAGATCGTCCAATTTCCTCCTCTTGGTGAAGGGAATAACCACAGTTTTGTTGGGGTTGACAGACATCTGCTTCCTCAGGCACCAACTGTGAACAACGTCCAACGCGCTTTGGAGGATATTACAAGCTACCCTTCCCGACGTGGACCTTGCCAGGATGACAAGGTCATCTGCATAAGCTTGCAGATCAACTTTTCTTCTGTTGAGGGCATCAAGCAGACTATCCACCAGAAGCGACCACAGAAGGGGAGATAGTACCCCACCTTGAGGGCAGCCCCTGGTGACCCTGAACCTGATAGCCTCGCCTTGAAGAGTCGTAGTTGCAGTTCTGTTTACTAGCATGCCATAGATCCAGCCAGTTATGGTCGATTCTATACCTTTCCCAGCCTGGGATGATCCTATAGATTCAGGTAGGGCATTGTCAAATGCTCCTTCAATATCAAGAAATAAAGCACCCGCAATCTCCTTGTTGTCAAGGGATTGGGATATTTTCTCAACGAGGTTGTTTAATGCTGAATCTGTCGATTTGCCGGTTTGATAAGCATCTGGTGGTTATTCAGTGGGGATGCATATAATGCTACCCTCCTGATATGTCCCTCCAGTATCCTCTCAAGTCCTTTCAGCAGAAAGGATGTAAGGCTGATTGTTCGTACCGATTTGGGGTTTGGGTCTCTCCGGAGAGGGTGTTCAGACCAATGGTGATTGGACTGAGCACTGAGCAATTGAAAACGAAGTTCTTTTAAATCGAAGATGCAAATTTTCAAGTGTATAATTGATAATTGTAAAAATGTGTGTTAGGGAAAGTGGAATTTTTCGAAAAGTTGCCAAGAATGAAGTAATGTACTTTTGGTTATCCTGACTGTAACCCAAAATTTTTATCAAACCCATTGAAAACAACTATTTACTGTTGGAAATTCAGCAAGATGATTATCGAACGAAAATTATCTTTAGATACCTGTCGTAAAGAATGTTCTCTCATTTTAGATCCATCATACAGAAAGGAGGCAATGCCGTCGATGCCGCAATAGCCGCTTTATTTTGCGAGGGAGTTTCTATGCCAGAATGTATGGGACTTGGAGGTGGTTTTTTGTTAACCCTTTACAATAAAAGTACACAAGAGGTATGGACACTGAATGCTAGGGAAGCTGCACCAGGAAAAGCATCTTGGAATATGTATATCAAAGAACCTGACTCGTCAAAATGGGGTATTATGTACTTGTATTTTGAATGAGTGAAAAGTCAAGAATTTTTTTTATAATTATACAGAAGGATGTGTTGACGTGCGCCAATTCATAAGTATGCAAAAAAACTGTCTGGATGTTTCCAACTGATTTCTATGTATTCAGGTGTTCTGAAAACTAATAAAATAGTCGAAAAATTCCAGAACAGCGGGTTACTGTATTGTAATATAAAAAATGATAAGTGTTCCAATAATTGAAAATTTATTGCGGCAATTTTATCGCCAACAACATATGCAGGAATAATTACAGTGGAGAATCCTGCTCTGATACCTGTCGGATATAATCCAACGTTCTTCGTGTTATTAGCCAGGGGAGTAGTTGTTTTCTGATAGGTGTCAATCCATTAACCTACAGTGTAGGGTGTTGAGACTGGCCTGAACGAATTGTTCCTTTAGATGATTTCCTTTATAGCCAGTCTTCAGCTCTCTGACTATACAGGATGATTCAAAAGTACTTTAACAAACTTCAGGAGGTGATTCCTCACAATATTCTAATATGAATTGTCCAAATAAATAAATGTCCGGAAACGCTTCGTTTCCAAGATACAGGATGTTGAAGTTTTATTTTTATTTTCGTTTTTTTCAAATAACTTTTGAAATACTGAACTTAATTAAACGAAACTTGGTAATAGGAGGTTTTTGAGGTGT